GTTTCATGCATCGGTCAAAACACTCGACTCCAGGTACACGATAGCTCAAAACAATTCACACAACTCGAGTTGCCCAAGATTCACAGAATTTAGAGAAAAAACACTATTTTGTGATATTTATGGTTATCGGGATGAGAAACGTCTTATATGAGATGGTTTTGAGATTTTGGTCATATCGCAGAACCGTAGTCCCACTCCTGCTGAACAGGTGAAAATAGACGTAAGAGTTACAGAACTTAGTGCCGCTGAATGTTTGATTTTATTTCTTTCTTTATTTACTTCTGTTGTCAAATTTGCAATAAAGAAATTAGAGCTCTTTTCTTTCCGATTCAGAGATGGTCTTTCCCTTTTCATGTACATGGCCTCCTTGACTCCACGCTCAAACCAGCGTTCCTTCCTGTCCAGGATGTGTCCTCATCATTGAAAGAGTGTCCACTGGCCTGTAGGTGTAAATAGACTGCAGAGTCCTGGCCTGACGAGGTGGCTCTTCTGTGTTGTGCCATCTGCTTCGTCCGAGGTTGTCTGGTTTCCCCAATGTATAAATCCTGGCAATCCTCCTGGCACTTAACAGCGTACACTATGTTACTCTGTTTGTGTCGGGGGACCTGATCCTTGGGGTGGACCAATTTTTGGCACAGCGTGTTTTGGGGTTTAAAAGCCACAGAGACACTGTGTTTAGATAAAATGCGTCTCAGCTGTTCCGATACTCCTGACACATACAGGATCACTACAGGTTTTCACATAGGCAGCAGTTGTCCTTCTCTCCTGGATCAGCTGGAGCTTTCTTTAGGCGCCTTCCCAGCTTTGACAAAAGTCCAGCTGGGATAACCACATTTACTCAGAGCCGTCTTGATGTGCTGTTCTTCTGCCTCCCTGGCCGCTGTGTCTGTGGGGATGGTGTTCGCTCTGTGTTGTAGCGTCCTGATGACGCCCAGTTTGTGCTCCAGTGTATGATGAGAGTCAAACCTTAAATACTGATCCGTATGTGTAGTTTTCCGGTAAACATCAGCTTTTAGATGTCCCCCATTACTGATGGAAATCTCACAGTATATGAAGGCTAACCTGCTACTTTTCACATCCTCCCTGGTGAATTTGATGTGTCAATCCATCGAGTTAATGTGATCCGTGAATTGTGGTACGTCCCGAGATTTGATCTTCACCCAGGTGTCATCCAGATACCTGAACCAATGACTTGGTGGTGTTCCAGGGTAGGATAGCAAAGCCCTCTTTTCCACTTCTTCCATGTACAAGTTGGCCACAATGGGTGAAACTGGGGAACCCATGTTTCTGCCTGTAGAACTGACCCTTGTATGTGAAGTAGGTTGATGCTGAAGGTGGTCCTGTTGCTGAGGTTGGGGTCATCGTGTAATCTCTTATGAACTACCTCCAACGCTTCCGTGACTGGGATGCAAGTGAAGAGAGACGTAACGTCGTACGAGACCATAGTTTCATCTGCCTCCATAATGACATCTCTCACCTTCTCAACAAAATCCAGGGTGCTCTAGTTGTGGTGTTCAGAGCTGCCTACCAGCGGGTTGAGGATCGAAGCCACAATCTTGGAGATGTTATAGGCGATCATACAGACAATCGGTCTTAAAGGTGCACCCTCTTTGTGTATCTTGTAATACTAACTCTTCGGTATTTTTAATTTTTGTTGTTGTTGTTTTTGTGACACGATATTGTCCGAGTGGCAGCACTTATGGTTTAGGACAATACTGCAACAGCGGATATAAATGGCTGCATCTGTGTGACAATAATAGTGCAGCCGTGAGCGAAGAGACCAGTGCGGAGGATATATTTGCACCTTACCATTACTAATGTTAAGAAACTTTGCAGATATGTCGCCAAAGGTTTTACTGTTCTTAATTCTGCGCTAAATTTGCATCGCTAAATACATAAGCGAGATTAACCACAGTACTTTTAAAACAGCCTTCGTAGCCTCGCTGTGACGTAATCACCCTTTAAACACAGCCTGCGAAGGAAGTGGGCCTAAATTGGGACACAGCTAGCAAGTGTAGCGGTACAGGCCAGGTTTTTTTTTTTTCAACAATATATATTACTTATTTTATTTGGCTGCAGGCTTTTCTCCATTAATATCGGCTATTTGGATCAATGGATTTTTGCAAAGTTTATGATCTAATGCTGCATTCGATTTGAACTGGGAATATGTGTGTTTGTGTCTGCCTGAGTACGCATGTGTGTGGTGGTGGTGGGAGCCAGGGCACTATATGCGACTATAAAACTGTTTAAATTACATATGGACAGTTAAATAAGCTTCCCCGTAATATCACTCAGAGCTGTCTCCATCTTTTTTTTTTTAAATATGTGAAAGTAGTGGCTTTATACTTTTCTTTTATATCATGCATATGTGCAATAATTCACATCCGTGTTTACACATGCAGATTAATAGCTTTTTCAGAAGTTTACTACAGAAAATATAACAAATGTAAAATCTTAAATTATTCCATGTATCTATTTATTGAATAAATGAACTCACTTTAGGTATGCCTATGTGATCAACATAGTGGGCCTTGTATAAGAACTGCCACACCAGCAGCTAAGAGTGATGGGGATTTGGTGTTGTGCCGAAAAGTGGTTTACCATCCATCCATCCATTCGCTTCCGCTTATCCTTTTCAGGGTCGCGGGGGCGCTGGAGCCTATCCCTACTGTCATAGGGCGAGAGGCGGGGTACACCCTGGACAGGTCGCCAGTCT